GCCCCGCTCTAATGTGTTATACTTCAGTTGAATACCCCATACTCATTCCCTCTTGTCGCCCTTCCAGTGAGGTTATTCCCAATTCTGGTCTTAATCTCCATCTTGTATAGGGGTTTGGATTAGGGGTACACAAAGAAATGTTGTTAATGTGGTAATAAGTAAGTACAATATTCATATAGCAACGAATGTGTAATTTCTTTGTGTTAATAATTGTCCGTTTGGTTCATGCATGTTTTACTTTGACCAATCACATGCAACCTTGTATATGCATCCCCAAAAGTCCTGCTTTGTCATTGGCTAGAGCAAGTGAACAAACGGCTGTGTCTGAGTAAAGTTATGGGTGAATATCAAAGCAGTGAAAAACGTGTTCCTAAAAAGACTAGCTCCAAAACATGTGACTTTGGCCTCAGGAGAAACGACAGGAGCAGAGGAAAAAACAAAGACAAAGATCCAAAACAGAACAGGAGCGCTCACTGCTGAAAAAATAACGATCCTTGCAGCTCACTCTGCCTTTACCCAAATATTTGAAATTAAATTGACTTATTTAAATAGCATGTCCTGTTGTGTGACTGAAATGACAAAGTATTTCTTCAATGCAAATAAATACATTGAAATAAAAAGTCATAAATGGTCATTTCAGTCGCAAAAAAAAGTCTTATTGTTTTATGCAGATATATTTTATTTGGAGGGAGAACATATTTCAAAATATATAGTTACGGCAGTGTCCTTTACACACATCCTTTCCATTATCATGCAGCTGTATTTTGGATTCTTGATTATTAGATTATACTGTATTATTTTTGCAGTGTCGTATTTTGGGTCTTTCGTCATTTCGCAATCATCATAAATGCAAGGAAATGATCAAACCAGCAGCATCCTGTATTCTCAATGTTTACAGCTGCATTTCTCAAATCGAGCCTGACGCCACTTTTCCAGGAGCCTTCTCAGTTGCACACATTCATTCCTTTAACTGTCAATCAATCACAGGCCATTAATGTTGGTAAACCGCCGGTGCCCTGGCGCGGTTCTATTGGCATCCATAAATCTCCACTCTGCCTGTGCATCGTGAGCCATACCCCGAGGACCGCAGGCTTCCAGGCACACAGCATTTTATCTCTCCACCGAACTCGCTGCCGTTTTTCCCCCATATTTACAAACAATGCATCCGAAAGCTCTCAGGCCGGACTTCCACCTGCAAGAGGCAAGGGCCCCCCAGGGACGCAGAGCTGCAGAGGAGAGAATAATCGCAGACAGAGCTGGTACATTGTCACGTTTTACCATTTGATGTCTTCATTTTGGAGCGGCTCTAAGTGAAGATAATGATCGACATAATTGCGTGAAAAATAGAAATGATGAAAAATCAAGCTGTGAGGATAACATTTCTAACAAAATTATAAAAGACTCAAACACGTATTGCTTGAAGACACAAATTAAGATGTGTTAGGGCAATTATCAAAGAGCGATTTCAACACAAAAGCAACAGCAGTCGTGCAAGAGCCTGCTAGACTTTTAAATAGAAAGTAATTATTAAGAAGCAAGAAAAAGATGATAAAGAACTCCACAGTAACCATTCAGGTTGGTAAAGTTACCCATTATTGGAATAGAATTATATGCAAAGAGAGAGTCCCAGCATGTTCACTTTGTCTGCTTTGAACTTGTCCTTATTGAAAGCATAGAGCGTATATAAGTGGACTGACCAAGTGCTGCCGTCTCCCATAGAGAGTGCAGAATGCGAAAGAAGTCAATTTGAACAGAAAGGTAGCTGAGCCAATTTCCTTATATGGGCATTTGTTCCGTTGCCGTTAACTTTCCGCAGTAACAGATTTGTTGCTAAGACGGTTGCTAAGGCAAGCTGAACTTTTCGTCGAGAATGAAGGCATCTGATTGATCAATCCTTGTGGCTCGTTATCTGGACTTACTGAGACAGGATCAAACATAAAAACATCAGGATCACAGAGAGCATGTCCATGAGCACATACAGTATGAGCATAAATCCATCTATATACAGTGGATGATTGAAAGAAAACGGCTGGTTGAGATGTAATTACCTTGTTAAAGTGATTGTCTGGAGTTTGTCAGAAAAAAGAGAGAGAAACATGATTTGAAAAAAACGACCCAAGCTCCCTCCCCCTTCCTTTCTGATTGGTCTACGCCTACGTTTCCGTAACAATCAATCAACACATTGAAATGTTAATCGGAGAACACATTATACATATACATTATTAATACACATGCACTGAGGTTTTCAGAATGATCTATTAACACTTTCATGACAAAAATAATGTTTTAATGCACAAAAAAAGAGATCGCGGTAAACCCGGAAGTAGCTATTATCATTAATTGAACATTACAGAACACATCTGCAGAGGATCTGATTATGGATATAGGTTCAGTATGGGTGACTCAGCGCTGATGTTCAGAATTCTTTGTTCAGTTCCAGAGCCTAATAGAGGCTTGATTCGGAGGCTCCGTGAAAACAAACAACTGAGCATGCGCAGCTGCGAGCATCAGCGCCGATGATTGACAGCCCTGGGCATCACTTGAACGGTTAAAGTGGACAGCATTGTGGATTTTGAGCTATAGCTAAGAGAAGGGAAGGCGGGACTTATTAGAATTAGAATTCAATGACTATACAATACTAATACTACTAATACTAATACAATTCTTGAAATTTGTTATTAATTTAGAGTTCCAGACAATCACTTTAACTTGTATTCAGAACTGTCACTGTGACATGTGTGAGATAAATGACGGCAGTTGTCTTTAAACAAGAACCTAAGCAGCAAACGATGTGTCTCTTAAATCTGGGGTGCTTAACGTTCGGACCACAAAACCTTTGATGTAATACAATCCATGTTACTAGTTCTAACACTAGTTTCCACGTGCTTTTGGCAACTGGCATAGCTTTTCCAGACAAAAAAGTAAAATAGTGAGGACCACCTTCACTCAGCTCTCAGTTCTGAAGCATCAAAGACGGCCTCACAGAGATGGAGACAGCTTGTTGTGGTCTGATTTGTTCACCTGTTCACACATTTTACTTTTACAGGACCACTTCTGTTGGATGTGTTATTCATGAAAACAGTTATGTAGCCCAACTTTAAATAACCTTTTCATGTAATGCACAATTTAAAACGTTTGAATCCAATCTTATATATTAAAAATCATTTCAAGTTCCCATTATATCCATTATGACAGACCATAATAGTACTAGTTAATAAAATAATAATGCAATATTATAAAACTGTCAGTCTTACAGTGTTTATTACCTTCAGTCCAGTCTATCGCACTGAGTAATGAAGCGCCATATCCTTTGTTAGTAATCTGTATACGGAAGACAAACTCCTGACCATTAAAAAGCTTTGTGACAGGGCATCACTGCGGTTTATCAACTCCACTCAACCAATAAACATGAGAGACAAGTGTGACAACTAAATTGGAAGTCAATGTTTTGTTTATGAAGAAACATAATTACTGATAATGACAATGTCCGGACTCTGAAATAAGGGACATTTCTTTTCTGCCTACGGTTGCCTAGAGACAACACAAGTAATAAGTTCTAATAAAACCGGCCTAGTGTGTAATTTTCTTAACACTTATTAAGATGTCAGCGTTATATCTAAAATAAACATTTGATTTCTACAGAAAAATAATGACTTTCAAAAAAGGCAGCATAAGAGCAAGATTCAAACCCAACAATTAACACAGAGCCAAAATCAAAAGTCCACTCCACATATGATCCACTTCCAAGATCCAACCCTGTGTTATTACATTTAGACTTCCTTTTTTGATGCAGGAGAAATCTGCACTTGTTTGACTCGATCACCTCTACTGGACCAACTTTGGTTCATGTGTGAAAAATGTCTTTATTTGTGGATTGTAAAGCACCAAACAAGTGCACATTAGTCACTTAAGTCAGTGAAACCAGTGAACAGACAATGCTCTCAAAAACAAATATGCAAATATACTGTTTACTACTATTTAGTAAACAAAAATAAATGTTTTATCTCAAATTAATTCTTGAGCCTAAAGGATCTGTGAAAGTGCATTGTCAGTCCCTGCGTGTTTATAATACAATGTTATGCCTTGTTATAGAATCTTTATTTAGACCACTTTATTCCCGGTGTTTAGTGGCATGTACAACATTTGACCTGGGAAGGACAATAATTAAATCTGACTGCACGGAAAAAGGAATTTAAGACTTGACAAGCTATAAAAAAACACTACAACCCCAGTGACATGTTTGGTGTGTTGATCTGTGGCATCTCCGCCTGTCAGAAGATTCGAGCTCAGACTACACTGCTGTCCATCACTGTCATATCAGCGCCAGGGAAAAGAAGGAAGTCAGGGCAGGGTCCAGGGGGCTGGACACATCAATCCGCCTCTTCAGCCTCTACTCTGTCTCGTAATAGACACTTTTTGTTGCTTCCATTTGTTGGGTTAAATAAATGTTATCAGCTATTAAAGGTGACAGACTTCTTTCAAAAACTGGAAAATGTCTTTATCAAGTAATACTTTGTGTTACTAAAGTGTAAGATACATCTTACCCCTAAAATGTTGCTCCTCTTGCTCTGGCTCCTATTGACTTTGTTTGAAAAGTACATCGCTAACGCAAACAATTATTGAGTAGGAGTTTACTTTTCAAGTCAAGTCAATTACAGAGCCAGAGCGAGTAGGAGGATGCAGCGTAACATTTACACGAGTGGTGCTCATTTGACAGAATAAGTGGCATTTATACGCTCATATTTCACTGCTGGTAAACTGTCAGGCTCATTAGAACTTTGCATGCCCCCCTTTGGGGTCACAGTAAACCCAAATTAGAGGTAGAGGTGGCATTTTCACTGTGTAATTAAATATCAATTCAATTTGTTGTATTTTTTCCTCATTTAAAGTTAAACATTGGAATGTTTCTTATCATAGTGTTGTCTTTTCATTGTCAATTATCCAGACAAAAAATGAGTTTCCAAAAGGTTATACAACAAAGCCAGTGCTTAGTGTCTCACCGTGTGGAGTGACAGTATGACTCTCCTGGGCCCTTGGAGGTCCGCAGCCCGCCCGGGTGCAGGCGCGGACCTGGAAGCGGTACAGGCTGCCCTCCTTCAGGCCCTGCAGCTGCCACTGGGTGGTGTCAGCCGCACTGATGTTCTTCTCCCAGGACTCCAGGAGCTCCAGTGAACTCTCATTGACTGTGGAGAGACAGAGATGTCATGTCAGGGCAGGTGCCAAGAGAGAAACAAGTGATCAACAGGGTTACACTGGACAGAGGTGGAAACTAACTTTATATTCAACACTTTTGTTTTGTCACATTCTGCCCTTTTGCAATAAACAAAGTGGGAAACACAAAATCCATTCATTTACAACAATTAAGCCACAAACCTCAGCTTAAAGGCTCTTTTTATCATAATAACAGTGTATTCCAACCAGAGAATGATTCAAATTGTTTTAAATAGTTTGGAATGGAATATTTGAATGAAAAAAAATTATGCAGTATTTTAAGATGGATTTTGAGCAACTGTTGTAGATGGGCAACAAAATTCGTACAAAGCACACTCTTGATTTCAATCATCCTAATGGCAAGGCCATTGATGGATGGCATAATGAAATAAACAATAATATTGAAAAAACTTTGTGCCTTTTGTGCGACTGCAATACAGCAGGAGGAAGACAGCGAACAAGCTTAAAAATATAATTTAATGGTCCACCCATTAGTTATTGAAGCAATCTTTCAATCGATATATAATAATTACTACTAATGCATAGTTATGGCTGGTTTTGTTGTGTATGTTTTTATTATATGAAGTGACGTTACTTTTTCTTGCGTACACATTTCCATTGTTGTATTAATATAGAAATCTCGTCCGCCTGGTATATACTGTACAGTCATAAGACCCGGGTATAATGAGGGTCAATAGGAGAAGGAGGCGATAGATGAAGACACGTCAGGTTAGCTCAAGCTGAAACAGAACGTAGCAGAGAGCCGTGGTGACAGGTGAGCCGAGGAGGAATACATTATGAACAGGGCCGAGATGAAAGCAGCCGACAGAAAGCTCGGGCGGAGAGGGTAAACAAGGAGCAATGGATGAGGAGAGGAAGAAAGGAAAACAAGTGCAGCATCAACAAATTAAAATATTGTAAAAGTGCCTACTTAGTGGAGTGGTTTCTTCAAAGTGAAACGTGTACAATGTCATACAAAAGAGATGCACTGCATTTTCAAGTGTATTAAAACGCTCCAAAGCAGAAGGAATTGATGTGGTTTTGTAATGAATATTATTATTTTTTTAAGTGGAGGATTACACCAGTGCTCCCCAACCTGGGGTCAAATCCTAATCATAGTGTATTATGGTGGGTACTTGGCAAGGCAAGGCAAGTTTATTTATATAGCACAATTCATACACAAGGCAATTCAAAGTGCTGAACAAAACAAGAAAGCATTAAAATCATAAATTATCACAGAACATTAAAAAGAAAGATAAAAATATAAAATCCCTCAGTTGTATGCACAGTTAAACAGAACTGTCTTTAACCTGGTTTAAACATTGTCAGAGAGGAGGCCTGTCTCACATCTTCAGGAAGACTGTTCCAGATTTTAGCAGCATGAATCTGAAAAGCAGCCTCCCCATGTTTAGTTCTGACTCTGGGCACTAACAGGAGTCCAGTCCCTGTGCTCCTCAGAGTCCGGGCTGGTTCATATGGGACTAACATGTCACTAATATATTTTGGTGCGAGGCTATGGAGAGACTTGTACACAAGCAGAGCTGTTTTAAAGTCTATTCTCTGAGCCACAGGAAGCCAGTGCAGAGACCTGAGAACTGGACTAATGTGGTCGTACTTCCTGGTTCTAGTCAGGACTCGAGCTGCTGCATTTTGAATGTACTGCAGCTGTTTTACAGCCTGTTTGGACAGACCTGTGAGCAGGCCATTGCAGTAGTCTAACCTACTGGAGACAAATGCATGGATAAGAATCTCCAGGTCTGCTTTAGACACTATGTTTTTGATCCTGGCAATGTTTTTTAGATGGTAAAAAGCTGCTGATGTTACTGATTTGATGTGGCTATTAAAATTTAAGTCTGAGTCCAGTATTACCCCTAGATTTCTGACCTTGTTTGAAGGTTTTAGGGAGAGAGACTGGAGGTGACAGATGACGCTCTCTCTTTGTTTCTGGGGACCAAAGACAATCATTTCAGTTTTGTCTGCGTTTAGCTGAAGGAAGTTGTTTTGCATCCACTCACTGATCTGTTGGATACAGTGAAGGAGTGAGTCCACTGGTCCATGTTCTCCTGCAGTCAGTGAGACATAGATCTGAGTGTCGTCTGCATAGTTATGATAGGAAACTTTGTTTCTGCGTATTAACTGACCTAACGGCAGCATGTAGAGATTGAACAGAAGAGGTCCCAGGATCGACCCCTGTGGTACTCCACAGGTCAGGGCCATATGATCTGAGACACAGTTTCCAATCTCCACAAAGTACTTCCTGTCTTCAAGGTAAGACCTAAACTTAGGGCGGTGCCAGTGACGCCAACCCAGTCCTCTAGTCTCTGTAAGAGGATCTCATGGTCGACAGTGTCAAAGGCAGCACTTAGATCTAACAAGATTAAGATTGAGACTTTGCCTGCGTCAGTGTTCAGCCGGATATCGTTTGTAACCTTAACGAGAGCAGTCTCAGTGCTGTGGTGGGGTCTAAAGCCGGACTGAAACATATCCAATGAGTTGTTGATTATAAGAAATCTAGTAAGCTGTAGGTAGACAACTTTCTCAAGGACTTTCCCCATAAATGGCAGATTTGAGATGGGACGATAGTTGTTAAGTACCGTAGCATCGAGACTGCTCTTTTTTAGCAGGGGCCTGATGACTGCAGTTTTCAGGGCCTTTGGGAATATTCCAGAATGAAGGGACATGTTTACTATCTGTGTGAGTGAAGGTAACAGGCTGCTCAGAACAGACTTCAGAAATCTAGTGGGTAGTACATCCAAGCTGCATGTGGAGGAGCTCAAACTGGAGATTATCTCTTGGACAGTTTTATCATTTACAGTGAGTTAGCTCAGAGAGCCTTTCTGGCTGTTGGATGGTTATCTGTGGATTGGAGACAATGGCGTTTTTGATGCCTTGAACCTTGTCATTGAAAAAATTAGCAAACTCATTGCATTTACGTTTGGAAGTAAGCTCTAATGGCATTTGAACAGGGGGGTTTGTTAATCTATTAACTGTTGAGAACAGAACACGCAGATTGTTGCTGCAGCCTTCAATCATTTCAGAAAAATACCTTTCTCTCGTAGCACCCGGTTAAACTCGCACAACTTATCTTTGAAGATCTCGTAATCTACCTGGAGGTTGGACTTGCGCCACTTCCGCTCGGCCCTCCGGCACTTTCTCTTTTGTGCCCTGACCGAGTCTGCTTTAGCCCACGGCGCCTTCTGCTTATTTTTCACTATTTTAACCTTCACAGGGGCAACGGTATCCAGAACATTCAAAACACTAGAGGTGACAGAGTTAAACAGTTCATCTACAGTAGAATACGATGCATTCTCAAAGTTTATCATTTCCATAAATAGTTCACTCGTATTTTCATTTATGCGCCTTCTTCGAACAGTTGCAGAGTCCACTGGTGGTTTGTTAGTGAAACACATGTCAAAAAAAACACAGAAATTATCCGAAAGAGCAACATCGACCACGTTTACATTTGAAATAATCACCCCCTTTGTAACTAACAGATCTAGAGTGTGCCCTCTGCTGTGGGTGGGGCCACTTACGTGCTGAGTGAGATCAAAGGATTCAAGTACAGAACTCAGCTCATTTGCATTTCTGTCATCAACATTATCCACATGAATATTAAAATCACCTGTAATAACCAAAGTATCAAAATCTGTGCATACAACTGAAAGCAACTCGGTAAAATTATCAATAAAACTGTGACATGACTGCGGTGGCTTGTATAGGACAACGAAGAGTATTGGAGGAGATTGTTTTTGTTGTATTTTAAAAGACACATATTCAAATGACGAAAACTTCCCAAGAGACATTCTATGGGAGACAAAGTGGTCTCTAAAAATGGCAGCTAAGCCTCCTCCTTTTTTGTTTTCCCGTATTTCAGATTCAAACTTGAAATTTGGTGGTGATGCTTCTATTAAAACTGCATTTTCTGAATTTTGGTCAAGCCAAGTTTCAGCCATGAACATAAGATCAAGATTATGAGAACAAATAAAATTATTGATTAAAAAAGACTGTTACAAAGAGATCTGACATTAAGCGTAGCAAGTTTCAAAGTTTCAGTATCAGCGGTTGCGGTCGGCTGATTCTTATACGGAACAAGAATTAGATTTTCCAGATTAGACTGATTAACTCCAGATGTTTTTCTGTTATGTATTCTTTGTGTTATCACTAAGGGAATGGCATAGGTGGCTTCATGACAGGGCCCCAGCCGGGTCTCTCCTCTAACTAGACTGCCAGTGGCTGCGAAGCAGAGACCCTGTGCATCCTAGTGTTTAGAGAAAAGAGGGGAAGGGGAAGGCAGGGGAGGAGGATGGATAGGTGGGTGGCTTTTGGGTGTTGAACGAGGGGGGCAGGGAGGTGGAGGGGTTTTAGGTGATGGGTTAGGGCCGGGGTGGGCTGAGGCAGAGGTTTTGGATGTTGAACGAGGGGGAAGTGGGGGTGGAATGGTCAAGAGGTTAGGGGAGGGACTGGCTGAGGTGGTTTTTGTAGGTGAATTGGAAACCCTAGGTGGTTTTGGAGGTACATATGGGGAGTGGTTTAGCATGTTGGACAGGACTCTAGATCGAGCTAATATGGGTGTGAGAGGAATAGTCTTCATCGCCGATTTTATTAGCCCTGCAGAGTGTTCAGGTAGGTCTAACAGTGAAGGCGGGGATGAAAAACAAAGGGAGGTGTCCCCATTCTCTCTCGATGGAGTGGACGTGGCAGGGGGGACCCAAGACAGGTCCATGGGAGGTGGCGAGGGAGTCTTTGATGGAGGGGCAGGTGGTTGAGGAAACCCCAGCACAGGCCTGTCTGCTGTAGGCTGGGGTGAGGATGGGGGCTTCAGAGGCGCTGTAGATGAAACCACTTGAAATGGTTATAAAACTTCAATCTACTATGTTGTAGGATGTTGTACACCATTTTAAATCTGCTTCTCTCAAGAAAACAAAAATTCTGTTCTAAACATTGAACAACAATTTATAGTAATAATAATAAT